TTACAGTGTTTTATGAGGTCAGATTTAATAACCCGCAGTCAATACTGCACTCATTTTTCTAAATACTTCACTTTGAAAGACTGATTCAAACTAGGAGTTAACTTGAATGGCCACAGCACTGCACTATTGTTTATTTTTTTATATTTTGCGGATCTTTGACTATTTAATCTGTTCCTTAAAATTTTATTAATAACAATGTTCAATAAATGATTTTCAACAAAATACAGATGTAACACCTATCCAGTTTCTGAATGATGGTAAAAAAATCTTGTTTCTACCAGCAGCTGGGGGAGACTAGATTAGAAGATGGTTCAGAAAACCTGTTAGGACACATTTTTTTTCTAACACTAAGTATCAAACAAATGCTGATTTCTATTTCAGCAAATTATTCTTAAATTTTTTTTTTATATTTTGAATAAATGTTTTGATGAAGATTTGAGATTCCTTTCACTGAATGAATGGTCACAAAGCTAGTGTTAAGCTTGAAGTCTCTGGCCAAGCTCACATTTCAGGGTCCTGTTCTACTCCAGCAGCCGGTTGATTTCAGCACGCCGGCGCTGACAGAAGTCACATTCTGTCAGCGGTGTCTGCTCAGCTCCATCCTCAGCTGGTGCTGGTGTCTCCACTATGGATAAAATAAGGACATCTTTTAGCTAAATGTGCATCATGCAGCTGAAAAAGCCACAAAAGCAACATACGGTGTTGAATCTGCTGGCTCTGTAAGGCTTACCGGGTGGAACAAGGTCATCAATAGCTGTCTCATCCATCGCAGGTGTACTGTCAGTCCTTTGCCGTTTTCTCTTTTCCTGTCTCTCATAGCGTGCAGTCTGTGTGGCCTTTATCTCAGTGTGGCCCAAGTGTAGTGATGGTGCCCAGTCCGGATGCGAGGTGTACATTTCATTTGCTGGTTTTCCTGGTGACACAATTTAAAATTATTATCCACAGCAGCAGTGTTGAACACATACAGAACCATAATGTTATCAACGATCCTCAATATACACATTATTATATTGTATTATATGATTACATTACATTACAAGACGGCTGGTAAGCGCTAGGATCAGCAAAATTTATAAGTGGTGCTATGACAGCTGTCAACCTCAGGGTTTTTTTTGAAAATGGAGAGGGATGTCCCTGTCCTTGTAGGAACTGGCAGTGTGTTCTACCAAAGAGGATTAAATGCTATATCAACCAACGAGGATGAAAATGCTATATCAACAGTCTCTGGGTGCGCGTTCATGCATGTATGTGGTGCCACGGATGAAGGAAGGAAACACTGTAGGCTATAAAATAAAACCGTGCATCTTTAACTTACCAGAATGAAAATGCAGGGAACACACTCGCATTGACATCAGGATACTGTGGAAAGTTCTGTTCTGTCGTCTTACAGCCGCGATTCAAGCTAGCCGACGACTTTTTGTTATCTGTGAAACTTGGTCTCCGTGTTTGCGCCTCCAGGCAGGACAGCGGTGGAAAGTTATCCCATTTTGTAGGTTTTTCCCTCGGCGATCATGTGATGCGCTGTTACAGCCCACAATACAGAAACGGTTTACCATGGTTGAAATCAAGTTACGGTGAAATTAAACGAAATAAAACACGGCTGAGAGGGAGTACAGTACGCGTTAGTCACAGGCAATAGTCTAAGGAAGCCGTAAAGTGCGCCGTCAACAGGGCGACCACGCAAAGTGGTGACGTCACGACGACCAAGCCCTATTGCGAGGTAACGCAAAAGGTTTTGCGAGGGAACGCAAAAGTTTTTGCGAGGGAACGCAAAAGTATTGCGAGGTAACGCAAAAGTATTGCGAGGGAACGCAAAAGTATTGCGAGGTAACGCAAAAGTATTGCGAGGGAACGCAAAAGTATTGCGAGGGAACGCAAAAGTTTTGCGAGGTAACGCAAAAGAAAAAAAATTCCCCATGTCCCCTAGGGGGCTCCGTAGTTTTGCCCCCGCTGTATTTTTAAATACGCAGTAAAGGTATTTAAAGGTAGTAGAGGACATGTACCTGTATATAAAAAACGCGCCCTATAGTCCGGTGCGCCTTATGTGTGTGTTAAATACAGAAATGGGACACATAACTGAGAGTGCGCCTTTTAGTCCGGTGCGCCTTATGGTCGTGAAAATACGGTATTTGAAGTATTCCAATGGAGTCTTTGAGTCCTACATGCTACATACTGAGTACAGTGAACTACTACTAGATCATTTATTGTTTTCTCAGCTTTTGTAATTAGGTTTTTTTCTGAAATGTTGATGATTTATAATAAATTATTTGGAATTATTTCCATGAATGTTACCAGAAATGTCTGTTACATCAAACTTGACTCATTTTGTTTGTAACACAAAAAAATCACAGCAACCCCACCTGCACCCCCCACCCCCCCAACACACACACTCACTCAATAATTCAAGGCCTCTAAACCTCTTTTAGGGCTGTCTTTTACTAGTAAATTTCCCCACTCAGGGATAAAGAAAATAAATGCTATTCCTCTTTATCAGGAATCCTACACTCCATGCCCTCGATTTTCTTTAATGAAATTCAGGGGAACAGAAAATGATTGTTTTTATAAGATTTACCTTCTTCCTTGGCATTTTCAAAAAAGTGTTTAATATTGGGTAGCTATTTCAACTTGAGAAACTTTGGACTTATCATTACTTATATTTGGAGGAAAAAAGGAAGTAGAGCTCTGCCATTGTCCTACATGCACTACTGTTATTTTTGTTGAGGTCTTACTGTTACACCATTTAAAACATAAGGGTATGACTGAAATAAACAGCAATAATCCCGGGAGTAAGACGCTTTCATTGTGGTTGAACTCTGTGGATGATGTCATCTCTGAAAGGTAAGTAGTCAGCCAGCTCTCTGCTGCCACCAAGTGGAAAGATGTTGTTCTTGCTCCTCAATAAGTACCTGGCATCCTTTTTGGGATGAAATTTGAAAAAGTGACTGTCCTAAAACATAAAATCAAAATAAAGCATCATCATTTTAAGGCCTAAAAACAGGACAAGAAATAGTTGACTGTGACAAGGAGAAGCCACATAAGCACTGAATGACTGTTGTTATTCCTGGAAAGCATTACTCATTTCTAAGCTTTAAAGACGTTCAGTTTAGACAGATGTATGTTGTTACCTGAAGCATTCAGTGAGAATTTCTTCTCTAATCATTAAAAGAAACAGCAAAGAAGCAAAGCAATTTTTTTTGAGGGATTCGTACATCAGGTCTGTGAAATAGATTGATAAATCAAACACTCCAGCCAGAGAAAGAATGACAAGGAGCTTAAAGTAAAATTAGCTGTAATAATTAAAAAGCTGTGTAAAATCAGTGTAGTATTAACTAGTCGTTGCACACAGAAAACAAAGATTTTATTCCATGTTCAGTTTATGTTTTACTGTAATATTACTCTACTACACTGAGTCCTAAATTACCTATGCCGAATGTTAATAATATCCCAGCCCCTCGGTTGGGATCAGTGTCACGGAAAATGGATGGATGGATAACATTTTATAATTATATCTTTATCATTGGCAGTACAAGAACAATTAAGTTATACATAATAGGGTTAGAAGCCATCTATATTAAGAACGAATAAGCAACCTTAAACAGAGGGGTGGACTTGGAGGGTTCAAAAACCTCTTAGGAGCAATTGAGCTGACCCCTTCCTGCTGTCATTGCAACACCTTTAGAGGGGAACAGCAGACCTCACCTGTTCAGCCAGGCCGAAAATTCCCCTTAACAACCCCCTTTCATAGACATAGACAGGTATAGGGCATCGGCAAATTACTGCCAGTCCAAAGGGGTGGACTAATTCGTCTGTTTCAATTTGCATGTTTTCTATACAGAAACAAGGCTTTGTTGGGCTACTGTATAAAACCTCGAACTGAAATCTATTTCTGACATTTTGAATTGAAAAAGCTTCCTGGATGGGAAGGGAAACATCTTCCAACTTGGAAACAAAGTCGAGTGGAATGTTTAACTTTTTCGGTATGGGGTTAGAACAGGGGTCGGCAACCCAAACTGCTCAAAGAGCCATATTGGATCAAAAAAACAAAAAATAAATCTGTCCGGAGCCGAAAAAAATGTAAAAGTATTATATAAGCCTCTTATGGCAACACGGGCTCTAAGCGTAGTATCCAACTATAGAAAAGGACTATGTGGGCTTAAATATTTAATAAGCATTCATGGTTAAATGTTTATCCTCAAGCAAATGTCACATAGCAGCATGAGGTGAGGGAGGAGCAGTGAACGCTCCCATCGTGCGCTGTGTCATCACGTGCTGCTTAACCGCCCTTCACCACGCGGTTTAAGTTTTGTTGTATTAATGAAATGGTAGAAACACAATAAAGGAATCTTTCTATGGTGGTAGTGTTTCTGTTGGGAGCAACAGAGCAATTTATCCAGAAGTTCTGCAATCACACCTTTTCTCTTCCTCCCAGCTTGGTGGTCTGCTGCATATTTAGCTTGCTTCCCTGGAAATGCCTTTCCAATTTTTTATGTTTTGCCAACCTCATTACCAAGCAATAATGTAGACAATCCTTCCACATTGATAATGAAAGAAAATGATTCGGTCCATTCTTTGAATCCTCTTTTCTCATCAGCTACCTTCTTTTTTTCCCCTTTGAGGTCCGAGACACTCCAGCAGCCTGGCACTGCGCAGCGCTGGTTGCAAGTTATGACCACTGATCTCTATGGCTGTGACGCAAATTATTGTTTAAATTTATTTATTATACAAATTTTACAGCATTGGAAAACATAATTATTTTTTGTTTGACCTCCTGCACACCATATTAAAAAAAAAAAACAAAAAAAACGATTTTCATTAATTTTTGAAAAAGCTCCAGGGAGCCACAAGGGGAACGCTAAAGAGCCGCATGCGGCTCCGGAGCCGCGGGTTGCCGACCCCTGGGTAAGAAGGAATAACCCCCCTTTAAATTCAAATCAGCTGGTTCTTTTCTACAGTTAATTTGTTTTAACCTAATAAATGTAAAAAATGACTTGGAGAAAAGGTATATGTCACAGTTTTAATATAAATCTGTAAAAATGAGAAGTTCAATGGCAAACATGAAAATGAGTGATTGTATCATTTAGAAAAGGCAAAAAACAAACAAACAAACAAAAAATGACACTAAACATGAAACCCAACAGTACTATAGCCATTTATAACAGGAAACATGTCTCCACTGGGTATCAGTTTGTCTGTCAGTGCACTCCTGAAGCTTGTTCTCTACAGAAAAGCTGATCATGACCTCACTTCTTAAAACCTTACAACACAAACAATAAATATCTGACAAATAAGAAGAATCACAGCTTTTAAGAAAGACGCTTCAAACCACAATCCTGACATCAAATTGCACTTTAGATACTGGTCTGAGTGAATAAATATCTTTTCTGATAATACAGTACAATAACATAGCAATAGCGTATTAGAGCGGTCTTAATGGGGTTAACAGGAAAACTCAATTCATTCCAGCTGCTGTTGCATAACGTACAGGTTTTGCATAATAGCATATAAATAAATAAACACAGATGATGCCAAACAAAAGGGTAAAAAAGATTTACAAAACATACTGCATATCTAACATAGTGCTTATTTATATATTTATATATTTATGTATTTTATTCAGGTAATTACATAACAGCGTCATTCAGAAGCGGTGCTCAAGTGCTTTTGTTTTGTTTTGACTCCAGAAAGCTTTGGAAAATTTTACCACTAAATGGAATCAGTTTTTTTGCACTGTCCCTTTAAACTGTCCCTCCTATCAGAGATGCTTCTGGGAGGAGGCAGATGTGTTATGACCTTTAGAGTAAACATGCCTCTCTTTATGTTCTGGGCCTGTCCTAAAAGTTAATGCCTGCTGGGTGGTGAGGTTTTTGTCTTCTCGGGGTGTTTGCTCTGCAGCTGGGGGGCTCTGTGGACCACCACGGCTGCTTTCCAGCTTCTCTTTGTGGTCCTCTTGCTTCTGTGGAACAGCAAGCTTTCGCTTTGGGGATTCCCTGGAAAAAGTTGAGGCTGTTTGGCTTCCCACCAGGCTGTAGAGAGGGAGGGTGGATCTGGGCTGAACCATGTGAATCCCCCCGATGGGGATCAGAAGACTCTGAGTCCTGCTGGGTTGCTGGGAGTGCAGGGGCAGGTGGCTTAGGAGCCTGTTGGTTCCTCCAGGCTGTGTGCCATGGTTGCTGATGTTGGGGGTCGAAGTGGTTTCTTCTCTCAACTAAGAGACATAGAGATGAAATCAAAGCTGAAGGATTGTGGAGTGAAAGATTAACAGTAAGAGAAGAGTTCAGAACTTCTCTATGTTTTGGTGGAGTTGTGTTTAATATCTAAACACTAAATACTGTAGTTCACTGCTGCTAACTGGGTGGCGCCACCCCACTGGCCACCTAACCTGACTCAGCCAGATGGATTTGCTCCGCATATCCATCTGGAAACCTTCCGTTGAAGTAATTTTGGGAAGGGGCGAAAATACTGGTTAGCTGATTGGCCTATGTTGGTGATAGACGGGCCAAATAAACCAAGCAGATCAACGAAGCATATGACGTACTAACAGAACGACGACAAAGAGGAGCCAATTGATAGATCAAACTCTTGCCGAAACCAGTCGGGAGAAGAGCAAAAACATCTTTTCCTCTGAGAAAAGCCTCCAGAGCAGTGCTTTGCTCTTCTTTCAGTGAGGAAATACAGTGTAATTCCGATAAAACTTGCTCGATAGCCACGCTAACGCTAGTTTCATCGGCTGAAGCCGCCATGTTCTTTAGACTGAACTGTCGCGCTTCTCGTTGCGTCACACCTCAACGCGCCTCAAAGCCAACGCTGATTGGACGTTCGTTTGGTGAACGGCTCCAAATTTTCTTAAACGGAGAGTAGCCAGACTGATCTGCGAGTGAAACCTTGAAAGCTCGCGAGATCAGGATGGTCTCACGAGGCTACTGGCCACTCACCTGGTCAGTGTAAATTGTAGTAGCATCTGTTTAGCCTTTCATCCCATTATGCACAGCCAGTGACCTAACATTAAAAATCTCACAATAAACAAAGATATGAGTAGGTGTTTACTTAAGTCTTTAGAAATCAAAAGCCCTCTTGTGGGGGTAGATTCAAACCCTGAAAATATGGATTTTAGTTTCAGTGCGCCATCCCAAGATTTTTAGTGGCCCATGTGGTCACCCCTATGAAGCATTTCAGGAGGCACCGCTGCAGAATGGGCCTTTAAAATCCTCCATCATCGGTCAGCTGTGCTACTTGATCTTTGGGCTCCTCGTTATAAACACGACATCTATTGAATACTGAGTTTTCATCTAAAACAAATGAGATTTGACGGTTATGACATGTAGGGACAGGACACACACGCGAAGGCTCCCGGCTCACTTTTTGTTACCCTGCCTTTGGAACGAATCTTCTTTGCAATGTTCGACACAATTTTAGCTGCTAAAGTTGGGTTAACCATTAATGAACATCAGGGGTGAGATAATATCATACTCAGCTAAAAGGAACAGGATGAAAAGAATTAAGCAAGAGGATGCTCAACACTCTGTTCCTCCTTCCATTGTGCTCTACAAGAGGAAGCTGGACCTCTAAACGCAATATTATTTGCTATCCATGTCTAAAAAAATCTGGACATGGCCCTACTTTTGTCTTGTGGATTAGATTTTTGAATACCTCTCCCAAAACCTCTGTAATCACAGATGGCAAATGCTAACAGTACTTTCATCTGTCAAGGGGCTCCCATCAGGGCTGCCCAATCAGTCCATTGCTGCTCGCCTTGGCCGTAGAGTCCTTGTCTATTACACTAGGAGGGGCAGAAAGCTTAAGGTATCTCTTTATGCTGATGATTTGTTAATGTATGTGTCTGACCCTGTTTTATGTCCTCATATTATCCACAGCCTGAGGAGGTTGGTTTCCTCTCTCGGTAAAAACTGAACTTCAGTAAAAGTGAATGTTTTTGCTTGCAGCAATAATGGAACAACATTCACTCCATAGGCTTAACGGGGTATTAGTAACCTTTCAAAGCAATTGTATATCAGTTTGAGAAGGAATTATTAAGGCTAAACCATGACATTTTAATGGTGTTTATGTTCTTCGTCTCTGACCGTGATTATCCTTTACTTGCTTCCTGTTTTACAGCTGCCTGCCAACGTTGGATCTATCTCTGAGCTCTCCTGCTGTATCAGAGAGCAGGAACTACAGGTTTCACTCAATAAAATCAGGATTATTGGCAGTATTTGGATGTAAAACTGCAACATGACTTCACTGTAATGACTAAGTTTTAGATTTGACCTTTAACCTCCAAAAACTGACGTGACCTGCACATTTGATTGATATAAAACATGAACATCTCTTTTACTCCCTATTCCAATAAACTCTGTGATGTCTATATTTGCTCTACATGTTGACTTACTGGGATTTAACAGACCCACACCGCATTGGCTCTGTGAGCAAAAAGAGCATTTATTTTAGGCTGAGCTAAACTAACAGGAATGGATGGAGTCACAGGTGAATAAACACTGTGGTTTGGAAGAAAGCCTTTGGATAGGTATAAACAAAGATGCAAAGACATAATACCAAATGATGTCAGAATTTTCTGATTACTAGTGGATATTTCTTTGAAGAAGTAACTCACCAGTATTGCAGTCAGCTTTAAGTCCTTTGGCTGAGAACAGGTTTGACTCTGAGCGGGAGGACCAGCTGGGGAGCCAGGAAGCCCAGAAGAATCTGGTCCCTTGTTTTGGTCTCTAACTGGAGACGCTGCTGAGTTCAACACTGGGGAGACAGGACAGGCGGATGGAGAGAGGGAGGACAGAGGTGCAGCAGACTGATGGGTCCTAGTTGACAGGCTGCAGGGCGGAGGATGCTCTCTTCCTGAATTTGCAGACCGATTGTGTGGAGAGTGGGAAGATCCAGCAGATGTTGAGGTGGAGGCATTGAGGTGTCTGCGGGCAAATAGTGCCCAGCTGACACTGGCTGAGCTCTTTTCAGCATCATCCTTGGTGTTGAGTGGTAGAGATGAGCTGCTTTTAAAGTCCATGAGCTGCCCTTCTTCTTGGACTTCTTTACTATTAGTGTGGGAAACTTCAGTAAAAGAGGACCTGCTGCCTTCACCATGTCTGTAATGCTCAGCTAGGCCATCATCATCACCATGAGCAGCGTGTTTTCCCAGGGCATGTAAAAAAATATCCTTTTTTTGATCTGGGTTGGCTTCTGCGTACTTCAAAGTTCCTAGAAGAATAAAAAATATACATTTTGCCATTTTTTTATGGTTTAGTTTTTACACACCAATGAAAACAAAGATGTCATTCAAATCTAATGTGTTAAATTCCTATAACCACTATATATAACCATAATACTTCAGATGGATATTGTTGTGATGCAATTATTTATGTGATATATGATGTATAAAATGTACCTTTTTCTAACTGCTTTGCAAAGTTTGGATGACCTAAGATGTGATTCAACAAGGAGTAATTTATTGTACTGTAGCCGAAGGACAATTATAATAGCCTCTCAAATTTCATAATAAAAAAAATAATAATAATCTGAAAAAAAATTTATATGGTTCGCTTCCCCCCTATTAAATTCTTGGTGAAGCCGCCTTTCACCCTACAGTAGTTCCAGGTTTGCACAATTAGATACTGAAATAATTACAGCAAAAGATTAGAAATATCCTGTCCTGGTGTGATGCTGAGAAACTAGCGGATGCATTTCTTACTTCGAGGATGGACTATTGTAATTCTTTACTATGGAGGGACCATGTCTTTCAGCTGGCCTGGGAGCGCCTCCTCCAGAGGCTGCAGAAAGAGTCTGGGGCAAAGAAAGTCTGTGAGTCTCCTTGTCTTCCCGAATGAAACGGAAGACAAGGAGTATGGCCTCAAGTACAAGACTCCAAGAACCAAGAGGGACAATCTGCATCTGATGGGCTTCCATGTGATTACAAACATTAGAGCTCCATCTACAGGTTGCTGTAGAAGCGAGCAGACAGAGCTGACAAAGACTTCTGGAAAGGTGTCAAAGATTTTTGAGAAAACTGAACAAACTCGGGTTGCCTTTGCTTTTAAACCAGTTCTATTGTTGCAATGACTTGGATGATTGAGTTTGCACAGGCTTCTTAGATTAGAACCTTTTTAGTATTTACATAAGAAACGGAAGTTTGCACTGTTTCATGACGAGGCGAGAAATTAAAATGTGTGGAAATTACTTTCAATGCATCTGAATGATTACACTGTTCCCTTAAGAAATAAATTAGAAACGGGTAGAATGCCGACACGGTGCCCTATTAAGGAACTTGGTTTGAGTACAGAACACATTTAAGATCTCTATTTGTCAAACATTTCTGTATTTTCGTACACATTACTTTGAGTTACTGGATGTCATATTGATAAGTAATCCTCAAGCTATGAATAGTTTTGCAGATTCCTTTAAAATTTTCAGAGCTGTGAAAAATGTGTTATTACTGATTGATCGATGTAGAAAACATTGAATATATCATAAACATAACCGGAGGCAACAAACCTTCATGTGTGTCTGTATAGTGACTTCTCCTTTCTTCCTCCCGTACCTCAGGTATCAGGCATTCACCAAGCGCCACTGAAAATACCAAAGCGCAGCTTTTGCATATGTGCCGTGAACACAAATGAGAACAGCTGAAGTTTCCGCGTTTCCCAACTTACCTGGAGCTTCCGGACTGTTGCTACAGAGCTCACAGAGAGATGTTTGGGATTGTTCTGAGTGCACAGTAGAGTTCCTCAATTCACCCTTGCACTTCCTGTCACATTCACCACACACAACCCCCAACTGATCCTCTGATCTGTAAGCAAGGAAGATCACAAAGGTTTAGTTTGTCGCCTCCCCTCAATGGGAGCTGGAGGCCGTGCTTATGGAGCATCTGTAAGCAGATATTTACGTTTGGCCTTTACGACATATGGCTCTTACACCTTGGCAGTGGGTTAAGCCATCTGTGTACAGTAAGGTGCCGTCAGCAAGGCACCCACTTTAGATTCAACAGACCGGCATTCATAAACCATAATCAGAGCCCCACCCACCACCAACTTAAAACCTATTCACAGCTCAAGCCACCTCCTCAGGCCAAACAAGGGGGAGCCTACGGTTCAGCTCAAGGTCCGGGGGGTTGCTGGGACCAGCCAAAAAAAACAGGGCGAGCCAGGGAGGGAAACCTAGACCAGACCTACTGCTCCAAAAAAAGTTTTGTTTTTTTTTAAGTATGAAAAACACATTTTCAGTCACAAATAATGGTTCTGGTTATGATCTGCTGTTTTTTCCACTATTTTTCTCTTCAGGTTTTGTGACCTGGACAAACTCAACAGGTATAATCAAAGTGAGGGTTTTATAATTTTAAAAACCTGCCGGTTAATGAATAAAGTCGACTTTACCTTCATAAGGGAAGTGAAACCTGTAAACTGAGATTATTCACACTGAATGTGACTAGATGCTAGGAAAAAAAACCCAGTAACGTTTGGCGCCCTTGCTGCCTCCGTTTTGTCTTTTGCACCTTAGACAGACTAAACAGATGGAGAAAAGATAAAGCAAGCGGGTATGCAGATGAGTCACATCTTTAGGAAGGCTGTACCAAGTGGCAACATGAGTCATAACAAGGCTGTATGCACAAGGACTCACATCACAACCCAAGAAGTGCAGATGGCATTCCTCTGCACTCTCCAGTGTTTTATTGCTGCAGTTTTTATTTATTATATGGCAGAATAGCACATATTCTGCCACCAAAAGGATAACAAGGAGGGTCTGAGTTGAATTTGATTCATTCCTTGGATTTAAAAATTAAAGAAATCTTCACAGAATGGTTTCTTTTTTGACTGATTTCTACAAACCAATAGTATATTAAGGATGTATTAAGGAGGTTATAGGTACAGTTTACTTGGTGCTCCTTTAATTACTCATCAACCTTACATTTTACACTAAAACGAGCACAAGTTATTTTATGAAAAAATTGTTATTAATAGGCCGACTTTTTCAGGTCTGCATCCTGGATGCTGAGCACAAGGAATTGCTATAAAAAGATAACGATTCAATGAAATTGACTGTCCACTGTTACTATATAATTGTTCTGCAGGATCGATTTCTGCAAGTCAGGGAGTCAAAGCAATCAATTGGAGTTTCCAAGATAGAAAACATTTTTAAAGATTAGAATAATAAACTTAACTTCTTTATTAGCTCGGATCAAATTTAAAATAGAATGTATTTGACTTTAAATTCATCTGTATGCTTGGAATGCAATAACTACCACCGTTTATAAATGTGTGATCACAGCACATTGGTTGTAAGCCGGCAGTAAATAAATAAACTGAATTGAAATGAACTGAACAGAAAAAAAGAGGTTTGCTCATGGTCGTATGAAGCCCTTTAATGTTACATTGCTGTTCTTCATCAGCCTTGTTAGACACAAGTCAATGGGTCGCTTTAAACTTTTTTGTTATAAAAAAAGTTATTAGTCCATCAAAACACTGAGAGCTCAAGGGACAGACCAGGAAGTAGAGTCTTAGTTTAACACACCTCTCTGCCGCTTCTCTACTGTTACCCAGAATCAAATAAATTAGACATAAAAATGTAATCACGATAATCTAATCAAAATTAAAGTGACTCCAATTGGGAAAAAAGTTAAAACTATTAATTTAACATAGTTGACTTACTGTAGTTGGGGGGAAAAAATCATGAAAAAAAAAAAAAATAGTTCACAGATCTGTGACTAGCGCTACGTTTTTCCTGATGGGAAACTAATGCAACTGTTTATTCATATTTAGTTAGGGTAGGAAATAAAACAATTCTGTTAAAGTAACTAAACATGAATAAGTAAATGCCAAAAGTGGTTGCATTATTTTTTTCAGTGTATAAATCATATCCAGTTAATACAACAACGGTATATTGACATTTTATGTATGAGGCAACCGATTAACGATAAACAGCCAAAAAGGAAGATCCACTATCGGTTGATTCCCAACTTAACGGAGTACCAATTCAATCTTAATTATTTAATATCACTGCCCTTTTCTTCACTTAGATGTGATATTATTGATTTGATTAAAACAATAAAGTATTGATACAAATTATAAAGAAAAAATATAAAAATAAACGTCTCACCAAGGCATCTTCACTCTATTTATGGACACTTTAAAAAGGATGAAAAAAGAACAAACAAAAAAAAAAGAAACAAAAAATGTGAATTAACAGGCATTGGATAAAAAACTGGTGCATCTAGATTACATCCAAAAACTGTATAGCACAGCTGTTATACAGATGGTGCCACGTAATACATGCATCTGCCAAGGAATCCTAATAAACTGATTCCGAACAATCTCAGAAAAATATGTTGAGGCTATGGACACAGGTGGATGCATTACCAATACTAAAGCTCTATTAGAAAACACTTTACCAGCCAATTTACCACCCTAAGAGACGCTTACAAAAGTATATAAAGGTCTCCAAGAACATTTTATATTATTAACAATGAAATAAGCAAAACTTGTGTAATATTAAAAAAAAACTAAATAAATCATGACTGTGTTTGATTACTTTGCAATTCCCCTTCATTAGTGTTGAAAGCATGGATGCCAAAACTAATTGTTTTGTCTGTCATCAGAAAAACAAGGGGCAGAATGTAACTGAGCTGCAGTTTGATCAGTTTCTCTTGCATGAAATAGATTTTTTAACACCGAGTGTTTGCTATTTGTTTTGGTACTAAACCCTAGGAGCAGAGTTGTTGAATCAATTGATATTTCAATATGATTGATAAACAAATAATAGACATTTTGAACCTTTTAAAATCAATGTGAACCAACCCAATTTCTCACCACCATTGCATTAGCAGTGTTCAGAGGCATACAGCTTCTAGAACTGCTGCAGAAGCTCAGATGAACTACGGTTGAGAATGGAACCAGTGAAATGCAGACAAAACAGAAGAGGTTTTTAGAATTTCCTTGAAATGGCTTAAATGGCATTTTCCATGTAGCTCGTCCTAAAGAGAAATATCAGCTGTGCTGCTGCCATCAACACCTTTGTTCATAGATGTTTGAGCTTGGCCCATTTTTCAGTGTAGTCCTGTTTCTCTGACTGTGACTGGCTGGATATGCTCTTTCGTCCTGTGACATGGGAGCTGGCTCGGAGCTCGTCTGCCTGGCTGTGTGTTTTCTGGACGGTGCCGCCTGTGGAGCTGGTTGACAAGTTCCTTTGTATCTCTGCTTCTTTCTGTATCTCTGCTTCTGTCTCCTTGAACCCCAGTGGGCCTCAGCAGATGGCCGCTCACTAGAGACTGACACGGGAGTGGATTTTCACTCCTTGCCCGTCCCACTCCCACAGAAAAAAAATTGTGTCCTGTCCCGATCCCGGGCCAGAGTAGAAATCTAAATCCTGTCCCGTCCCACTCCTGGTGAAATTACTCCCACTCCCATCCCGCTCCCATTCAGAATGACTCCCGCTCCTGCACCACTCCCATTCTTGTTGTCTTCAATAAGATTTCTGCTAATTCATTGAATCTGAATTTCTTTTGAGCGCGGGTGAAAATCTCAGAGCGGAAGCACTGTTGGTTTTTGGGTCGTGTAGTTTTTTTTGACTCGCATTATATTGTAGGCTTCAAGGAAAAAAACTACAAAATGGTGGCACCAGTACTGGATTTTTCTATTTTATTTTATTTTTTGGCATCGATCCTAGTTTTTTTTAGTTATTATTGGTTTTCTCCCGCTCCCGTCTGCTCCCGTTAATGTTTAATCCTGTACCGTCCCAATCATGTGATCGTTAAAAATACTGACTCCCATCCCGACCCGTGGGATTCCCGAAAAAATGTCAGTCTCTACCGCTCACACTGAGCCTGGTTCTGCTGGAGGTTTCTTCCAGTTAAAAGGGAGTTTTTTCTCTCTACTGTCGCTACAAGCATGCTTAGTGTGAAGGATTGCATTCGAGTCAATGAGTTGATGCAATCAACTGTTTTTCCTTAGACAGAAAACTTTCAATCAATTTGACTGTATGATCAGGTTGAATTGTATCCGTAAAGGTTTGAGATGACATGTGTTGTGAATTGGCGCTATATAAATAAACTGAATTAAAACTGAATTGAAATGCTGCTGAAAGAACTATGGTAGGGTGAAAAATAAATCAAACCTTTATGACCTTTTTAGTCAAATATGGTTGGAGGTCATTTTCCTATGAGGAGAAATGCTAGATCAAGTTTTCAATATAGCAGTGCAACCAGGAAAAATAACTGACACAATAATGAGATTTTTAGTCATACATGTGACTAAATACGCTCTGAGATTTTTACCATATTTTCTAACAATTAATTTGGTGTCCTTGTGGCACCACAGGTGCACACACACACAGAAATCACACTGCCCTAGCCTTCCACAGCTTTGCTACTAGATGTGAATTGCAGCAAAATTAACCTCTGCAGGGGTAAAGGAAGCTAAAACAGTTTCCTGGCTTCAGTCCTTCAAACTACTGGCTTTGTAGTGCACACTACTGATCTTTATTAATTCACTGGATTGCTGATTTCCTGTTGGTAGCACGGGGTTGAAGTGAAGCTACCGGCCGCCGTACTGGTACTCCCTTGTTAGGCTGGTCGCAATGTATTTTCAGGGGGACTTAAGACTTTTAAAATAATGATAAATTCATCACGTTGACACAGACTTTGTGTTTCATAGCATAAGTAGATTACTTTAACTTATAATAAAATAACAGGCACATCACATTGCATAGACATTATGAAGTCAATGAAGTCTCTATTTTTATAATATATATATTTTTTTATATGTTATATTTTTATAATATAACATATTATAAAAATCCATCACAATAAAAATTATTTGTTATTGGAGCATAATAATACAGATGTGCCAAAAGTGCTAAATTGATTATGTATTTATTACACTGTTACGGTAATTACATCTTACATGTCTGGTAATGAATGGTATATATATATATATATATATATATATATATATATATATATATATATATATATATATATATATATATATATATATATATATATATATATATATATATATTTATATATATATATATATATATATATATATATATATATATATATGTATATGTGTGTGTGTGTGTAGGGGTCAAATGTTTGAGTTGCTTTTTTTTACGTCAATATATCTCAATATATTCCAGCACAGGACTTTTTTAAATGAGAAATCCAACAAACAACAAAAATGACAGTGTCATCCACTTAATATTGAGTTAGTATTGACATTTCATTGTGAATTACTTTCTATTGACACTACTTTCTATTTTCTTACGTTAGACACAATGTCGATGGCTAATTTAGTCAATAACTTAAGAGTCAGTGCAAGATAGCCAAACTAATTTTATGTTACATACTATACTATAGGATACATTGGCGTATATAGGCATTTTTTTTGGTTAGTACATCCACTGATTTTGAAATGACCTGTGGAATGTCTTTCCAGAGACAGCAAACTGTTCATATTGCAGAGTTTTTTTGCAGCCTTCTTTACTGCATGTCTCCTTGGGAGTGGGAAGTACCAGCATGTTAGAAGGTAGCTTCAGTTTTTTGGCCAATAAGCAAACCAGAGAATAAATAGAGATCAGTGCTGCACACAGGTGACCGTAGACATCACCGATATGGAGGCAATAACATAAAAAAACTGGGGGATGAAAGCTCAGAGATGCTTCATAGGTCTTCTGTCCTGAATGTCTCTGCAAAGTTATTCTTGAAGATGTTTATGCTTACCTTTTTTCAAGTGTCTGTTGATTTCCGGAAAATAATGTTACTTCCTGCTCTTGTCTCTTCATCTCGTTTTTCTTGCTGGCTTTGTTTAAAACAATGTCCTCTGTTTGCTGTACCTTTGCCATCTGCTTATGGTCTGTGCAATAGCGTGGGCTGCTGTAGACCTACAACCATACAAAGGAGGGCAAATTCACCATTTCTACACATTATGGGAAAGGAAACCTGAGAATTCTACGAGAACAACATTTTTATAGCATCTGTTACAAATAGTTGCGTCTTTCACTTAATGACCTTCACTTAATGTTGTTTATATGTTGCAAAGTACTTCTTGAAAACTAAAAGACAATGTTTTGTATGTAAAATTAAGGCATTACTAATCGAAGAGATTTAGGGGAAATTTTGATTGCCAATCAGTTCAGTAATTACCTCAGTAGAGCAGAGACGTTTACGGTCCTCATCCTGTATGGATTCAGTTATCCCAACCATCATAGCTGGTGTAGTATAAATGGAGGAAGTAGGCCTCTGCTTACAGTGTAGAAGAGAGAGTACCGTCTTGCTGGTGAGTCCAGATGGGTTGGGGTCATAGTCACTGGTAGACCATGTTGAATAGACTGACGACTTCTGTATAGATGGATTTGGCTTGATGTAGTTTAGATAGCACCAGCTGTTACAGGTACTGGACAGCAGGCTAGGGAATGTTGATGCGGCATGTGAAATGGGAGAAGAAACATCTGGTAAGCATGATAGGGTTTCCAGTCTTCGATTTTGACTTGATGTGTTAAGCGATGCTGTCTTGGCACATCCAACCTCCTTGTCCTCTTCTTTTATTCTTTTCTGTTGTTGTTGGGACTCTGATTGTAGCTCTATGCTGTTTGAAGGTGAAAGCATGCGCTTGTTGCCACTGGATCCTGGAAACCTTGGTCCTTCATCAGACCACGGTTGCAGATCTAGACTTGTTTTTTGGTGGGTTCTGAATTCGACCTTAAAAATGTTTACATTGGGTAAGACATTGTCAAACGCCTCAGGTGGCCTGTGGGAGACGGACTGAGACAGACTGGTGTATATAGCACATGCTGGGGTTAGAGTGTCTGTTTGAAGGCGAACAGCTACTGCTTGAGACGTCAATGGCCTCAGTTCTCCTAAACTGGATATGTGAGGGACACGCTGTTGAAACTGGGAGTAACTGGAGTGAACCTCTGCATAAGTTTGATGACGTGGGGGAATCTCTAGTTTTAGCCCAGTCGACACAGGGTGATAGAGGGCTCGGGCTGCCCCCGAAGCTCCATAAGTATACTCTGGATGGATGGATGACTCCTTTTTTACATCTACAGATGGTTGATAGCTTTTTGACAGTTCTGTGCTTCCCCTTGAGTGAATATTTGGTGTCCACTTGGTACAAATTTCTTTGCACTGTGATCCTTCCGGAACACCCAAGACCCTCACACTCGATAAAGGAGGAGAGGAAGATCTGCTGCAAGAAACAGAAGTTTGGCTTTCTTGAAAAAATGTATCTGAGCTTGCATGTTCCAAATGGTGGCTCGGGACAGTCCCATGTCCTTCCTCATCATCTTGATCTCTGATTACTTTGTGTCTCATAAGGAGACATTTCCTTCTTTCTTTCCAGCCAACTGCAGAGCGCTCAGGAGAAAGACAACTATAGTCAAAAGATTTACTGCGGTTCTCAGCCAATAAAACATGAGATTGTAAGTCATGAGGAGCTTGCTCAGATGCTGAGCGCCTTATCTCTCTTTGATGATGTAACCCGGGCACAGCCAAAGTGTGAGATGCTCTAGATCTCCTCAGTGCTGCTGATGCTGTTATTTCCACGTCTGGTCTGCTTTGTTCCTCAAAAGATGTAGAGCGGCTGGATGTATATGATGCACTACTGTCCTGACTAGGACTATGGGGTAACGACATGGACTCAAAGCTGGAGTCACCTGAGGACTGGGCAGCCTCAGCTAAACGTAAGCGCTTCTTTTTGGGGGGAAGCTTCTCAATGGGAAGTTGTGCCAAAGATGGGCTCCTTTGTGGCCAATGAAAATCATCCAGTTTTCCCAGTTTTTTGTCTCCTAAGTTTGGCTCTTTTGATTTCTCTTGGCCAATGTTTGAGTCTTCTGTAACCAGTATTTCTGGAACCTGTACATTATTTTGACGAACCAGCTTTCGATTTTTAAGCTTCACTGATTGATGTAGTGGTTGAGTTTTGGAGGAGGGAAGATTTTCATTATGAGGTGGCGAGTTGGTTACCTTCAGGCTTTGATATTCATGGTGTGAAGATTCTTGTTTTTCAAATAAACTAGTGTGCTGAATCACTGAGCAGGTTTGGAGTGTTGGTCTTGCAAGGCTTTCAACACCTACAATGATTTCACCTTTACACTGACTTGATAAGACAACTGAAGAGGACAATGGGGGATAAGAGAGGTCATCAGAATCAAAACTCTCCTCTTTCCTTCTCTTACGCATGGTTGAAACTCCAGCTCTGACTGCTTGGTAACTTAACTGTGAGCTCTCCATTGAACTCATTATGGTTTCATTTTGTGGATAATCTGCACAACATAGATTTTGTTTGTGTTTCTTATAGCCCTCCCAGTCTGTACAACCAGTGCCGCAGGCCTCACATTTGTATGGCTCTGGCTGACGGGGCTTCTGGTCAGACACTGTGGTGACACTGTTGCTGGAAAATGTATTAGATGTTTCCTGCTCATCCTTTGTAGGCTCAGCACATATGGGGATTTCAATGGCTGGTTGCCTTCTTAGTGTTCCAAAACGACGTTTGCTTTCAGAAGGATGTTCATCAAAGGATTGAGTTTGTCGAAATTTACTGAGACCTGAAGTGTCTAACGAAGTTGATGGAGATGGCAGGGAGAGGCTTCTCACCATAGAGGCAGTGGATATTTGAGAAGAAGGTTGCTCCACTTTTAGGGATGGCTGAAGAAACTTTTCACAGGGAACTCCCATACTGATGGAGCCTGTGGTTTTGTAACTGAGATTCCCAGATTTAGAGCTGTGAATAAGGGGTTCTTTGATACTTAAACTCTTCTGAGCCTCTGAGTTATTCTTTCTGGTCAATGAGAATCTCCTTGGTTTTACACTGTCGATTTTACTGGTATCCACAACTGCCTCATTGATGGTGATAAGTTTTGTGATATGATCAATAACCTGCTTCTTGGGTACAGCAAAGGAGATGTTTTTTTCTTCATGACCAGGAAGATGTTGGTTATGATGACGGGACATCCTCTGTAGTTGTCCAAGGCGTCCATATTTACCTAGGATAATCTCTGCGTAGGTTTTAGCACTTGTGTTTGGGGGACTGTATTGTGATTGCTCTGTACTTTCAGAGCGGGAGAAGTAGCCAGATTCTGTACTGCCTCTACTACTCAGTGTAAGAGATGATGTCTTATCATCAGAAGAGTCTTGAGAACCATGCTTCCCCCTACTTAGACGAAGGGCCAGTCTCTTTTTCACTGCATATGAGTCACTGCTGGCTCCAGTGCTATCTTTTAACATTTCAGCATCTGAACCCTTAGCTGGGGCTACACTATTTTGTCTATTTGTAAGGGCTGAAGCAGAAGATAGGTGTTGGGTTTCATCCTCTGATTCAGTGACTTGCTCTTCTAAACCTTTTGCCTCCCCAAGAGCCAAACCTGCCTTTACCCTGTGGGTATGCGATTTGCGATGTTTGTACAGGTTACTCTTTGTCTTAAAAGAAAACCCACATGGTGCACAAGGATAGGGGCGTTCACCTGTATGGGAGCGAATGTGTTTCTGTAGAACACTGGGCTTTGCACATGCACGGCCACAATAAGTGCAGACATATTTGCCTGGTTTCTGAGGCTTACGTTCACGTTTCTGCTTGGGGTTGTCCTCTTGGGTTTCTGATGCAGACTGTATAGAAATGTCTTGAGTGCAAGGTAGGGCTTCTGAAGATGAACTGGAAACGGAAGCTTCTTTTGTTCTTTCTTGTTTGTGTTCTATATCAGAGACAATGCTCTGCCGCTGGTGCCTAAGTCGTTTACGTTCAGGGTTATGTCTTCTGGACAGTTTGGGCAGCTGGGCTGTACCATGAGACTTTGAGCAGGCACTTAGATCTAGTTGAGAAGGCTGGGAAGGAGACTTGCAGAACAGACCTTGCTGAAGAGATTCTGATTGATGTTGTTCTTGATCTCCAGTCTGCTCCCCAGTTTTTTTAGGACAGTGCAAGCCCTCCATAAAATAGAAGGAAAGCCCTAGGTAGACACGATTTATGTCTGCCTTGATTAGGCCACAGAATAAAAATCTAATAATTAACTAAGGGGTTTGAACAAAATGACCTATCTTTTTAAAGAGACAGGTTTCATAATTTTAGCCTGTTGATTTAATCTTTATATTAAATAATTCAACCTAAATTAGTTTTTATTTGAAAAAGGAATTACTGGTGATTGATTGAAATAGTACGGAGAACTTATCCAGTCTTCAATCTCATTTGAATGTAAGATTCTTCTCTTCTCAGCACCATGATCTGTAATATTGAAGCACAAGAGAAAGACACTTGGATTAACAAATATTAACAAATTGAATATAAAGCAGCTGTACGACTTTATAACCATCACTGTTCCCAACAACCTCAATAAACTGATGCTGATTTCTGTCTTAATTAGGTAAATAACATGCTGCTGTCATTACATTTTTTTGCACATCTTTGGTGTTACTGCTATTTTAACATATCCAAGATTGTAAAACTGTCTACAGCTGTTATTGATTTTTCTATTCTCCAGACACAGAGTATTATATTGTAAAATACACTGTACAGTACAACACTCTGTTATATTTTCCTATCTGTTATTTGTATACACTTTCTAAGGTGCATATTGTGTGACCACTTCTACTACAACATATGCTGTAAACACAATTTCACCATTGTGGGAGAATAAAGGAATTTCCTATTCTATTCAATTCTGTTCTATTCTAATAATTCCAGTGAAGTATGTCAAAATATAAATTTCTCACTTTCCCCTTGGCTTTAATTATTTAAAAATGCGTTATATTAATTTTCTATCTACAAGCAAAGAAATGGAAATAGCAATAGATTTAAATCATTTCTTATCAGCCATATATGTCTTTTTAAAAAACATTCAATCACAATGCATTTGAAATGGCACTGCAATACAAATCCAGCCCTCTGCTCTGAAACTGGAATTAACAACCAAAGCTTCTTTGCAGGATGTAGCCTAGAGTTGACTTGAGACCCAGTACACACTTTAATGATAAAAAGCAAACAAATCCTGTTTTAATTCTAGAGCATTAAGTTGAGTGCATTTTAAAGGATCTGGTCTTTACTGGGATTTACTCTGGCATTGAAAAGACATAGAAAAAACAAACTGTCACCTTTGATGAAATGAAAAGAAAAATATAGAAACTACAACGTGGCAGATAAGTGCACCAGTCACACAGAATTTAAGAAGGGAAATAGCTGTTAGGTGCTTTGAAATTTAAATCAAATTTCAAATAAGTTACCTTATTTTCTACGATTGGACACCAGAGCAAAATCACACATTACTATCAGATTGTACCATGCTTTGAGAATTGTAAAAACCTAAACGCTACATCTGAGACTCCTCAGACCTCTTTTAAAATCTCTACTGCTAGGGTTTACAATAATAGATCAAGAAAAAAAAGAAAAAAGACTTAAAGCAGTTCTATAGAAATTTCTGTTTTTGTTGACTTTATCTGTCCCCAGTGGAAAAAAAAGCTGTATTGATTTGCCTGAAGAAGACAGCATTTTCCATGAGGATCAACACATAGAAAATCCTTATCTCCTGCTGTTGGACTGAACTACATTTCTGTTCCCAGTGGCTGTGAAAGGTGTGTAGCGCTGAGGTAATGAATCTAACTGTGGCCAAACAATGTCATATGACGATATAGAAAATCCGAAAAATTTTACTTTTGTTTTAAACCATATTCCCTGGCTCGTCAGAAATTGATGTTTTGATGAGTTTAGAGCCTTGAAACAAATATATAGAATCTTATGTTTCTTATGTTGATAGATACCGATATTGACCCAATACGATATCCACATGAATCACTTTTATTTCTTATTTTATAGTTTGGAATGATAGAAAAGCTTGATCAACAGATTTTTTTTTCAAACACAGAACAACAGACAACAACATCTGGACCCACTTCTTTTTCACCAAATAGTTACATAAAACTCAAACAAAAGCAGATAGAAGCAAAGCTTTGGAGGCAGGCAGGAGGAGGCATTTCCATTATTCACTTTTTGGCTGATATCTGATATCAATTTTGGATTGGGAGAACCCTACTTATCATGTTTGCAAAGTTAATTATTAAAAGATTTTTTTTTTTTTTGCAAATCCCGCAGTGGCACTAGATTCAATAGCGTTAAATGTATTGATCATAATTTTAGATCCTATAAAAGATCACACCGAATGTAGTGGATGAATGACCATTAGCTATCAGTTCCTCTGTGGAGAAATTTCCCAATGCTATTTTGTGCCAGAACACTGAAACAGTAAACAAGGCATCCCACGCACAGACCAGCTGGTTTCTACACCCACAAGCTGGTGGAAGACGGCGAAGTTGCTGGACATTTTCCAAATGACTGATAACATGTTGATAACCATCTTTGGTTTAACTTGAGGGAGAACTACCAATGCAAAATTAACCTTAAAACTATTTGAACTTGGTTAAAAAAAAAAAAAAAATCTATAGAGGGATAAACATTTTAAACTACAGAATATGAAATGGAAACTATGAGATTAGGTAGTCAAAAATGGGAAAAAAATTGAGTTAATAGCCCCGAATGCTGAAATACGGTAAAAGACTATCAGAATTGTCTGTTGCGAACATCTGGCTCTAATTGGTGAGACATGAGAAAACGATCTGTGAAAACAAATGTACACAAATTTTGTGTATACTGAATAATTTAGTCTCACTTCTTCAACAGTCCATCAAAATAAAGACGTCAAACAAAACATGCTAGCAACATTAATATAGAATATATTCCAAGTAGATCTAACTCCAAAACGCTTTGTGATGATGATTGATAATACACTAAAACACTAAAAGATTGTTCTGTTTATGCTGTCAGATGAGCATACCACGTCAGTCCAGGATACCCATAATCAATACGCATGTGCAAGACTTCAGGTTTGCGTTTATCCCTTTATTTTTGTACGAAAAATAGACTTTAAACTATCTCAACAGGCGTGTATCCCTTTACCCCTTGCTCACACTGGCCACGGTGCGATTACCGAGCCGATGGAGACCGCAACTCCCGTACACCCCCTCTCACATCGCCCTTTTGACTACGGTGCGGTGCGGCTCTGCGGCTCCGGCAACAGGTCCGGAGATTTAACAGAAGTTCACTTGAGTTCACGTAACTTCACGCGATAACACAGCCCAAATAAGGACATTTGCGAGAGCTTGTTGCGGAGGGCTCCGGCACGCCGCAAGGATAGCTTTCTTGCGGAATTTTCTGCAGCGCCGGAGTGTCTCGGTAACCGCAGCCGGACAGCTCAGCAGCCGGTGAGAGAGGTTTACGTCTTTTTAATGACTTGGAATCACTGCGGCGCCGCACCCACCGCACCGCAACGGTAAGACCGGAGTCGGTGTGAGCCGGGGGTTAGCCATGTACAAAAAAAATATATTTTATGTCAGATCGCCATACGCCTAAAAAAAACAACAATGGTAAATAATTAAAAGGATTTTTTGAACATGACTAGGGGGATACATGCCCATTGAGGTAGTTTAAAGTCTATTTTTCGTACAAAAATAAAGGGATAAACAGGAATTGACTATGGCTATGCTGGTCTGCGGTGTATGCTCATCTGACAGAACACTGTCATAACGCACCGACCCAAGTGGTAGCACAATCACCACAACCTTAAAACAAATAAGCAACATATGCATCGAGAACCGAGCAGCTCTGGATTTTTTTTTTATATTGATCGGGCTTTAGCTCATTCTAAGCTATGCAATGTTTTATCAGCCCGTGGGAAGCTCAAAAATATTTTAGTTTTTAACTCTGCAAATGCACTGAATCCAAAAACTACTGGGTAGCAGAAACAGCAAAAAGAGAAAAAAAAAAAAAAAAAAAAAACGAAATGGAGAAAGAAGTCTTTATATATATATTTTTTCTCTTTATTGGATAATACATAACACAAATTCTGCAAGCATTTTGGATTTTGTTTTACATTTTTAAATAACCCTGATAGTTTTTATAACTGGCCATTCTTTGGCTTACAAAACTGTCATTGGCTAAAATTGGTACCAGTAATTCAAAGATTTACAAAAAGCAGAACCTGAAATGTGAAATTTTTAGATGCAGTCAACCTTGACTGCGTAAAAAATTATCCCAATGTTTGCAATTCCGCTTAGATTAAGACATCATAAATGAACTTGTCAAAACCTTTTTTCAAATATTCTTTTAAAAGAGTTTAAGAAAAAACCCCTTATGGACCCCTTATTCAGAGGCTAAAGTATCGTAATCGGCTTGTCTATTAAACCGTGTTTACTGTTGCATCCTGACTGAAAAAAAAGCCTTCTTTTTTTTGTCAACTGTCTTCAGTGTTGAACACAACTAAAGATACCATATGAGGCTGTATGGAAAAGAAAGGTAAATAAATTTTATATTATTAGGAAAACTGAGAAAATATTGAATAAAACTCAAAACACCGACATAAAGAACTGCATCAAAAATGCATTTTTTAAATCTTCAAAATTTCATCTCCTCATTCAAATGGGCACCCAGCGGTGGTTCCTATGGTAACGGCCCTAAACCATGTGGTAGCAGATGGAAGGAGAGCTGGAGGGCTAAATTTATCTCCTAGCATCCTCTTGGACAAAAGAGAGAGAGATGGAGAGAAGGAAAGGCAGGCGAAGGTGCCTCCCCCTCAGGAGCTGCTGTTTTTTGGGAGAGAACACATTGCTAAAAATCAATAGCTTGACATCCTTTTATTTGTACAACTATGATACCACATCCTCCTAGATAGTATAATTTACTAGTTTAAGACTAGTTTGAACTAGTACATTTTCTAATAAGAAAATTGTTTCCTACTAGATACAATTGAAATCAATTTATTGATTATTTGAAAACTGAAACGTATTTAATGTTAAATAAGTCTGTTAACACAGTCATCTGTTTTGCAACAATGTCAGCTGAGAAGACTATTAGCACCTTTCCAATGTAAAGAGAAGAGCACTCTCAGCTTTACTGCACACCATAATCCCTTTGTGTGTGTGAAAGTACGCACACTTCAGGAGTGTTCCCACAGGTCCACACAAGGGGACTGGGTGCACAACACAGGCAGCTCATTCACTCTTGTTGTGAGCTGCAAACTGTAATGCATACACAGCCCACAGACTGCTTACTGCATGCATCACCCTTTGCTTCATTCACACACGGACGCTCACACACACACTCTCGCCTCAGAAGATTCACCATCTGCACACCTATAAATTTGGGACAAAATGTTCAGCTACTTCCAAGTCTCTTGGAGAACAACAGCGCACATGTTTTTTTTTTGTTTTTCCTCCACTCACCAGCATGCTGATGCAGCATCCGTTTGCTGTAACAAAGGCATGAATGGAGCAAATCCCCAGTCACATCACTCACTTCAGATGGAAAAAATGTATATGGAGAAGAGAAAGGATGCCTGTGAGTTCTCATTTACCTGCTGCAGGTGGGGATGTCCTCCATTTGTGAATGACTGGAAGCAGAAAGAAGGTGAGGGAGAGGAGGAGAGGGAGGCAGGGAAAGAATGAATGAGAGTGACGGTGAAGGGAGGTAAGTGAGTCTCTGCTCTACGTGCACTGCACTGACAAACAGGTCGCTCACTATATTACACCTATGAATGAGGAGACGGGGACACTCGCTATGTCCACCTCCCAGCCCTTGCATTCCCTCTCTTATTGGGAGTGAAAGTGAAGTAGGAGTTCCTTATTTGGAAGTTGACGTAAGCTTGTGTTTCTTTTGGCAGCTGTTTAGGTCTGCACAGCTGGCAGAGTGATGAGAGGTGGAGACGCAGGGTGAGCAGAAGCTGTTTTCATTCAACTAGAAGAGCGGTTTCTTCATATTCTCTAAAATGGACACTATTCCCTTCGTCTTCTTTTCCATAACGCATGTAGGAAATGACTTCTTTACTCTGAGATATTAATACAAAGTTACAAACCATACAAAGACTAAAGAATGAAGAATTTCAACGCTGTTCTTGCCAAGGTTAACATATGGAAGAGAGACCAGGCAGATCTGACATCATCACTTTAATATGCTCCAATTTAATGACTTCATCTTCATTCACACTGGAGCAGTAAGAGGGCAGAAGCCAAGCCTCAGAAAAAGGAGGAAAGTGAGCTAATCTATTTAGCCACTTAAAGGAAAAGGCAAGAGGAAAAAAGAAGGCAACCAAGGTTGAAGAGGGAAGCATAATTTGGTCTATATTCTTATGGCTGATGCTTTGGGTTCAAAATTTTCCCTGGTCCATTTCCTGATCAGACAAATAATGCAATTCAATTCAGTTTATTTCTATAGCGCCAATTCACAACACATGTCATCTCAAGGCACTTTACATTTCACCAGATCATCCAGTCAAATTGATACAAAGTTTTCTATCTAAGGAAAACCAGCTGATTGCATTGACTCAAATACAATCCCTCACATTAAGCATGCTTGTAGCGACAGTGGAGAGGAAAAACTCCCTTTTAACAGGAAGAAACCTCCAGCAGAACCAGGCTCAGTTTGAGCGGCCATCTGCTGAGGCCGACTGGGGTTCAAGGAGACAGAAGCAGAGATACGGAAACCGGCCAATCAGCTGGCAGCTTCCTCGTACATTTACGTATCAGCGAGTTTCAAAATGACAATGAAACAGAGAAGAAAGACAATCCAAGCTACGCTGAAGCTGCCATGGATGTTGGATTTTTGGGGAAGTAAACACTAGTGTGTGATGAATCCATAACATATCAGACTGATGGGCTGCAGCAGCAGACGACCACATCAGGGGGCCCACTATGAGCCCATTGGTACCGATACAGCCAACCGTGTGTAACCTATTATGACCAGAGTGTAAACACAAAGCTGTAAACATCTCAGCAGAACCAAAGCTGTAAACATTCTCCAGCAGAACCAGGCTTAGTGTGAGCGGTCATCTGTCGAGGCCGACTGGGGTTCAAGGAGACAGAAGCAGAGACACAAAAGCAGCTGTAAAAGGCGGCCCCATCCAGGAAACACACAGCGAGACAGACGAGCTCCGAGCCAGCTCCCATGCCAGAGGACGAAGAGAGCACATCCACTCAATGAAATGGGGGTCCCTATGTCCTCCAGCAGTCTAAGTCTATAGCAGCATAACTATAGAGATAGCTCAGGATAACCTGAGTCACTCTAACTATAAGCTTTATCAAAAAGGAAAGTTTTAAGCCTAGCCTTAAAAGTAGACAGGGTGTCTGCCTCACGGACTAAAACTGGTAGTTGGTTCCACAGGAGAGGAGCCTGATAACTAAAAGATCTGCCTCCCATTCCTCAGATGAAAGAAGGACATTCTAGAAACCTCTTTGATATGGGATTTGAATGACAGGTCCTGATCAAAAATAACACCATGATTTTTTTACTTTATTATCTGAAATCAGTTTAATCCCATCCAAATGAAGTGACTGGCTAATCAGCTTCTTTTTCAAAGACTCTGGTCCAAAGACTATAACTTCTGTTTTGTCTGCATTCAGAAGCAGAAAGTTAAGAGTCATCCAGGTTTTTATGTCTTCAAAACATGCCTGTAATCTATGTAATGGGTTAGCATCATCTGGATTATAGACAGATATAGCTGGGTATCATCAGCATAACAGTGAAAATTAATCCCATGCTGTCTAATAATTCTACCAATTGGGAGCATGTATAAAGTAAAGAGAATTTGTCCTAGCACTGATCCCTGTGGTACTCCACAGGTAACCTTTGAGCGTGTTGAAGATCTATCATTAACATGAACAAACTGAATTCGATCAGATAGATAAGATTTAAACCAGTCTAGTGCTGTTCCTTTAATTCCAACAAAATATTCAAGTCTTTCTAAAAGAATATTATGGACAACTGTATCAAATGCAGCACTAAGATCCAACAGGACGAGCACAGATACAAGTCCATTATCTGAGGCCATGAGAATATCATTAGTGACTTTCACCAGAGCTGTTTCAGTGCTATGATGAGCTCTAAAGCCAGACTGAAACTCTTCAAAAAGTTCATTATGGTGTAAGTGATCGCAAACTTGTTTGGCAACTACTTTCTCAAGAATTTTAAATAAGAAAGGAAGATTGGATATAGGTCTATAATTGACCAAGTCATCTGGGTCAAGAGACGGTTTCTTAAGCAGATGTTTAATTATAGCAGCCTTAAAAGCTTTAGGTACATATCCCTGTAACAGAGATAGATTAATCACATCTAAAATGGAGGATGAGATAAAAAGGGAATGCCTCCTTAAATAAACTGGTTGGAACTGGATCTAACATACAAGTTGAAGTTCAAGAAATAATTTTGCTAACTCAGAAAGTTCAACTGGATCAAAGAAGTCTAAACCCGGTTCAGATTCCATGAGTACCTCAGGTACAATCGCGGATAGAGGAGTGCTTATGATCTTATTTTTAATAAGATCAATCTTATTTATAAAGAATCCCATAAAATTATTGCTGCTAAGAGCAGGTGGAATGGACGGTTCAACAGAGCTATGGCTCTGGGTGAGTTTGGCAACTGTATTAAAAAGAAATCTAGGATTATTCTTATTCTCCTCTATTAATGAGGAGAAGTATGCTGCTCTTGCTTTACAAAGGGTCCTCTTATACAGCAGTAAACTATTTTTTCAGACTAGGTAGGATTCCCGTAGGCCTGTGGAGCGATATTTTCTCTCCAGTTTTTTGCTTCAAAGTGCGCAGCTCTGCATTAAACCAAGGAGCCAGCTTTCTATTTTTAACGGTTTTCATTTTCAAAGGAGCTGCGTTGTCTAAGGCAGTACGCAGAGAACTAGCAACCCCATCAACAAAATCATCAACCTGTGAAGGAGAATAAGCTATGCTTTTGCACTCTGCAGCACTGCTCAGCACCACAGAGGAGAGAGAAAGTGAAGCATATTCTTTAAAATGTATAACTGCACTATCTGATAAAGATCTACTAAAATCATAGCAATAAGAACTCACTCACTCACATCAAATTGTTGGTATGGTAGGGTGACCAGACGTCCTCTTTTTCTCGGATATGTCCTACTTTTCATACCTAAAAAAATGTCCAGGAGAAAATTCAAAATCGTCACACGACCTGGTGACCTACAGTCCGCGGCTGATTATATATCTAACTTAGATATTAACTTAGATTAGCTTATCTAATCTAATCTAAGTTAATATGAAGAATGTTTTAGATCTAAAAAATGGGAGCAAAACCAATACTATTGCATTTATATTTTTGTTGAGTGTATAACAAAAAGTCTTTTCGAAGCACTTCATCAGGATAGGAGGTAGTGTGACAGGCCAGTAGTAATTTAATGACTGTATGGAATAATGGAATAATGGTGGCAGACTTAAAAGCATGCTGGCACTATGGATTGATCCAGCAAGGTGTTAAAAATGTTTGTGAACACACCAGCCACCTGACCTGCAGACTGCTTGTACACCCATCCAGGTATGTTATCGGGGCCTGGGGCCTTCCTTGGGTTGAGTCTCCTCAGTATCTGTGTCACGACAGAGGGCCTCATCTCCCTGATGTGGAATGGCTTTCACTGCTGTAGTGCTGTTTAGTGCCTCAAACCTTCCAAAGAAGTTCTTTAGCCCATTCAGCAAGTAAGCATCAGATGCACCCACCTGGCGGAGGGTGTGTTGTAGTTTGTGATCACCTGTATGCTTTGCCACATCCTCCTGGTGTTGCTGGCATCAGGGAAGAGATGCTGGATCTTTCAGCAGTGGTTCTGCTTCGCTGATCTGATGCACTATTCAAGTTGGCACGCGCTGTTCTCAGAGCCTCTCAATCACCGGGTGGCCCGGGTGGTAACGTTCTTTGTGATGCTGACTTCTCAATGCATTTGCTGATGTAGGCTGACACAGTCATGGCATACTCATCTATATTTATCTCATTGTCATAGGTTGCTTCATCTTTGAACATGTTCCCATCTAACCACAGAGATAGAGTCTTCATGTCTTCTTTTGTCTTAGCAAAGGGAGGCACATAAACAGCAGTAATGCTAACCACACTAAACTTTCTGGGCAGATAGAACAGTCTGCAGTTAACAGTCAGAAACTCGATGTCTGGAGAGCAGAAGCTGGCGACCGATATAGCATTTTAACACCTGCTGTTGTTTACGTGCACACACAGCCACCTCCTTTAGTTTTACCGCTAAGTTCTTTGTTTCTATCAGCACGATATAGGGAGAACGTCTCCAGGCTAACAGCATTGTCCAGTATCAATAAATGAGAGCCATGATTCAGATAGGATGATGTCGCAGCAGTTATAAAACTATTTTTTTTAAGAGAGTTTGAGTCGGAGATTATCCATTTTGTTTTCCAGTGAGCAGAGGTCTGAGGGGATTTCTTCTTAGCTTCGCCGTTAACCCTCCTCTGCAGTCCCCCTTACGCCATCTTGCACCGTCTGCTCCTTTTGCTGTTTAAATCCATCCGAACCACTCCGTAAAGAGTAGTTATACAGCGGACTCCACTTATAGAGGTCAGGTTGGTCCAGAGCCAATTTGAACACTGTAAGCGGTTGATTACAAAAACAGAATTTACCGTTATTTCACTTAGCCTATCTCTTATGCAGAATATCATCTGAATTCCATTTGTATGGTTTTTCAACGAGAAAAATTTAATGAAACGGATAGCTTCC